TCCAGTCTCCCCCGGACCCCCGCATTCACTATATCCGGCTCCCCCACAGTACACAGAACATGGAAAAATGCAATTATTTTAGTAAATACAAAACTGCTAAATACCTTTCCACATCAGCAGTATATAGCAGTCTTGTGACTTCTATCAGTATCCAGTAGAGCACTAGCTAAAGCTTGTAGGAGTTTCCTTTTCTGCTCTAGGAGGATGCCTAACCCCTGACCTCTGTCTGACCAGTGCTGATTTGGCCCTGTGCTGATCACATGCACTCTCCCACGAAAAAAAAAAAATAAACAACCTCTCTAGCAATACACACCAAAATGGAGCATGTGCAAATGCCTACGGTTCAGTCTGTCTTATCATTCTTATGGTGGTCGCTTGAAAAAAATATGGGGGAGGAACAGAGAAGACAGGATCAACCAGCCTTTTTACACAATGCAGAGGATTAACCCCTTAGGTCCCACAGTGAGTATAACAAGCATGCTTTACTGCATCTACAGACTGATTGTACTGTTGGGGTTCAGCAACACTTTAAAGAAGGTTTAATCTGCTAATTTATTTTCCCTTCTCTGGCTCCGCTTCTTCAACAAAATGATGCTGCTTCATGCTTCCCTATGCAAAGCGGGCAGATCATGGCAGGTGGGAGGGGCCAGCAGGGTGCTGTACATCACTTCGAGAAAACATCCCAGCACCCTGTCCCAGTACTCCTCTGAGGAGCCCCCGGCACTCCTCTGGAGGAGCCCACAGTCCTCCCCTGAGGAGCCCCCCCCTTTGTCCTGATGCAAGCAGTGAGCTGTCTCTTGGGAGAAGTGCAGACAATAAAATGCCATGATGTGCGGAGTGTCAGTCTTGAGAATTGGGTGTTCCAAGGGAGGTTGTATTTACATGCGGAGCACTTTGATAACATACATTTGATGCCGACCCTCCATAACTGAAATCCAATGAAACGGAAAGGGTGGGACTGGGACAAATCAGGCTGGGGAGGAAAGTGCTAGATGATGCTGGGCGCCCTCCAACCAAGCTGGGGGCCTTTGAACAGTCACTACAGCAGAACTTCAAATAACCCATCTATGGATAAAAACACAAAGAACGTGGACCACACCCCCCTCCCCCCAACATATTCAGCAGCAAGCAGCGTTGCTCACGTTTTGGCCAGATACACCTTGTGGATGAGCCCCGGCAGGACATGTCCATCCTCTATGTTAAAGTTGTCATGCGAGCCGAAGACGTTGGTGGGGATGACGGATGTAAACTTGCAGCCGTGCTGCTCATAGTATGCCCTGAAGAGGAGAGAAGAGAGGACGTCATTACACTGGGAAAAGGGGGGGGTAGATCAGAAATGGACATTTATATTCTGTGTCCTCATTGATATTCTCTCACTTCCTGTTCTGGTGTCATTTTCAGGAGGTGAGAGGGAATCACAATGTGGACAAAGGCAAGAGTAACCCAGTTCTTGCTCTAAAGATTTTGCTTGTGTAGCGCCCTCTAGGTAGATAAGGTTTGGTTAGATAGAGGCTCGGTAGCAGCCTGGAAGTGGGGCAGGAGTTCACCTCAGGACAGGTTGGGAGGCTCTACAGGTCAAGGCTTCTGGAGCCTCCCACCCTTCCGGAAACTGGTAGACCTTTCTGGAAGTACATTTTGGATAGCCCAGATCTATATATTTGAGGGACCTTGGCCAATTCCAAGGCAGGAGGCTGGGCATGGTGACCGAGGGCAACCTTTAAAAGTGGTAGAGTCTGAGGCAGCAGGGGAGTCGGGTGGAAGATGGGTTGAGAAGGCTGGAGTGTGGAGCCTGGGAGGGGAGCCTACCTACAGGCTGATTCTGGATTGCAGTGATCTCCACTGTCCAAAGTCCCTCCTAGGGAGGACATCTTAAGTAGCAGGGAAGGAGCCAGCCGCATAGCATAAGGCCTGAAAGCAGCCACCAACCCACCATGCTGACAGGACAGGACAGTGTCAGTACTCCTAACACCCCCTGGGGCTGGGTAAGGGGAGAAGGTAGTCAGGTGCAAGACCCAACTAGTTCTCATCCGGGACTACTTCATGGTTGGCTTTTGGGATCCCCTTGCCCAGGGATACCCTCAGTGCAGCCGTGTGAAGAGGAGGACTCATCTGGGGTCTGAAGAGGTGGATTCATCTGGGGTCTGAAGAGGTGGATTCATCTGGGGTCTGAAGAGGTGGATCATCTGGGGTCTGAAGAGGTGGATTCATCTGGGGTCTGAAGAGGTGGATTTCATCTGGGGTCTGAAGAGGTGGATTCATCTGGGGTCTGAAGAGGTGGATTCATCTGGGGTCTGAAGAGGTGGATTCATCTGGGGTCTGAAGAGTGGATTCATCTGGGGTCTGAAGAGGTGGATATCAACTGAGGTCTGAAGAGGTGGATTCATCTGAGGTCCTGAAGAGGTACAGCAAGGAGACTTGGTGCTTCTTAACCACCTCCCGTCCAGCTGTTGTATATAAACGGTCGGACGGTGGCAGGTGCAGGGTCAGGTGGCCATTTATTAAACGGCTTTCCCGGCCCCCTGCTTGTGAGCGCGCTCGCTGGTAGCGCGCAGCACCACGATCCGGTGCCCACTGCGTCCTCCGGACCCAGTGAAACACACCCGATCCCTGTATGGGACTCCGTGATCACATGCAGAGTAGTAAGCAAGATGTCACTTGTGACATCATTGCTTCCTACGTGTGAAATCTGTGAATGATCACAGAGGTCACATGGTACAGGGCTATTCACAACAGCCTTGTACCATGTGACAAGCTGTGACTAATCACAGCTCACACAGTATTTCTCAATGGCTGCAGTCATGAGAGGAAGGAGAAATGATTGTAAAGCCTTTATGGGTGTAAAAGCAATCAGTTTAAAAAAAAAAAAAAAAAAATCTTCATCACCCCCACAAGTAGTACAGTGTCACTAATAGGTGACCCTGTGTACTGCTAGGGAGACAGTATGTAATATAAAAAATAAAAAAATAAATCAAAAAAAAGTAAAAAAAAAAGGTTTAAAAATTATAATTTTTGGTTATAAACTAATTTGGGTTATTATTTTTTTTTACAAAAAATATAACGGAATACAAATTTTGGCAAGATTGATGATGAATAATATATTTATTTGGGAAAATTTTATAAGAAAAAATTTAACTTTTTAAAAAAAATTTTTGGACAAATTTCATTTACATAGCAAAAAAATAATAAAAATCCCAGCGGTGAATAAATACCACCAAAATAAAGCTTTATCTGTCTCAAAAAAATGCAAAAAAATTCATATGGGTGCAGTGTTGCATGACCGCGCAATTGTCATTCATAAGTGTGATAGCGCTGAAAGCTGAAAATTGGCCTGGACAGGAATGGGGGGGAAAGTGTCCGGACTGGAAGGGGGGGGGGGAAAGTGTCCCGGACTGGAAGGGGGGGGGGGGCGAAAGTGTCCGGACTGGAAGGGGGGGGGAAAGTGTCCGGACTGGAAGGGGGGGGAAAGTGTCAGGACAGGAAAAGGGGGGGGGGAAAGTGTCCGGACAGGAAGGGGGGGAAAGTGTCCGGACTTGAAGGGGTTAACCACTTGCCTACCAGGCACTTATACCCCCTCCTTACCAGGCCAATTTTCAGCTTCAGCGCTGCCGCACTTTTGATTGACAATTGCGCGGTCGTCATGCAACATTGTACCCATATGAAATTTTGATAATTTTTTTCTCACAAATAGAGCTTTCTTTTGGTGGTATTTAATCGCCACTGGGCACTTTACTTTTTTGCGCTATAAATTAATAAATGTGCAAAAAATTTGAAAAAAAAAAAAAAAGTTTATTTGTATTCTTTTATAAAAATTTTTCAAACAGGTATTTTTTCTTCCTCACTGATTTGCGTTGATGAGGCGGCAATGATGGGCACTGATAGGCGGCACTGTATGGGCACTGATAGGCAGCACTAAAGGGCAGGCACTGATAGGCAGTTACTAATGAGGTGGCACGGATAGGCGGGCACTGGGATAGACAGCACTAATTAGGGGTCACGGATAGGCGGCACTGATAGCAGTGATAGGTGACACTGAATGATGGGTACTGATAGACGGCACTGACTGGCTAATCAATTCTGGGCAACTGACTGGCGGGCACTGGACTGGCACAAGCCCTGGGCACTGACTGGTGGCAGCTGACTGGCAGCACTGCTGGGCTGAACAGTGTGGTGGGCAGGCACTGGTGGGCAGGGTGCACTGGTGGGTGGGCACAGGTGGAGTGGCTGCACTGCTGGCACATGTAGGTGGCACTTCTGGGCACAGGTAGGTGGCACTGCAGAAGTGGCACAGGTGGGGGGGCACTGCTGGGCACAGGTGGGGGCACTGCTGGGCACAGGTGGGGGGCAGGACTGCTGGGGCATGGTGTGGGCGGGGCTAGTGGGCGCACTGCTGGGCGGGAACTTGCGGGTGTCACTGCTGGGCACCGATCATCAGGGCACTGATCATCAGTGGCCCTGATGATCGGTGCCGATCCCCGCTCTGACAACTGCCGGTTCTCGGCAGTACTTTCTCACACGATCTGACAGCGTGAGGAAAGTGCAGCCGAGAACCGGCACTTGCATTTCCCCTGTGATCAGCGTGTCAGTTGGACACCGCTGATCACGTGGGTAAATAGGCGGTGGGATCGGCCTTTCACCACATCACTGTGATCAGCTGTGTCCGTAGGACACAGCAATCACGGAGATCGCCGGGTGCGCGCCCCCTGGGGCGCGCAGGAGAGCGCGTTCTGGTGAGGACGTCATATGAACGTCCACTCAGAACGCTGGCCGGCGTCCGCAGTGCAGCCGTCCATTCGGACTGGGGGATGCGGGTCGCGGTCGGCAAGAGGTTAAGGAGACGGTGCTATTTTTCTTGATCCACATTTTTGTACATGTTTTTATTGCCAAGTTCATCCTCAAGTTTTCTCTCTCTCTCTCTCTCTCTCTCTCTCTCTGTCTCCCTCCTTCCTTCCTCTCTCTTTTTTTCTTCAAAAAAGTAACAAAAAAATAAACATGAAATTGTAAAAAAATTAAATAGCTACTGACACTAGTGGTGGAACTACCAGGGTCGCAAAGGTCACTCTTGCGACCGGCCCCTGGCTTTCCCCCAACCAGGCTCAGAGGTAAGGGTTCCTGGGCTTGGGGCAGCTCAGTCCAAAATGCCCGGGCCTATTTTTTGCCCCAGTCCGATCCTGCCTCACAGTAACCCACACAAGCATTGCACTCGTGATCAGGGGTGGGTGTTGGAACATGTTACACCCCCAAATATGTTACTAAAGGGGAAAATCATCCTTTTATTTTATTTTTTTTAACTTGGTAGGTTGCTGTATATGTTTCCATCCCACATGGAAATGTTTTAGAACCCGACCGTATGATCCACCATTTTGGCAGCAGCAGCTTCCACATCTTCTGTATTTACACAGCAATTCCCGGATGTATTTTTACAGTTGGGAATTGTTGGCAAGGAGGGAGCTGCAGAAGGACATGACGGACTATACACACCCTGGGTACGTCAATGAAAGTTTTTTGGACATATGTAGCACGTCCAGTGACCACAAACTGGTGTGACATTCCACCCCCACCCTGAAAAGATTGCAGTGACTGAATGGCCAGCGGTCGGCTCCTCTCCAGTTACGGTTTGTTCTCCGGCTGGTCAATGCAGCTCCAAGCTCACCTGTTCTGGACATCGATCATCCTCTTGGCATAGGAATAACCAAAGTTGGAGCCATGGGGTGGTCCGTTGTGGATCTGGGGGAGGGAGAGGAGATGAGGAAATCAACAAGAAGCTTTCCTTACAGTGCAGCCAAGGCACACGAAGCATCCATAATCCTTCCTGTAAGACAGCACATTCGGATATCATCCAAGGCTGGAATTCAGGCCTCATATTGGAGGAATAAAAGAAACAATTCCAGACGGCAAGCAAGGCACCAATTTGAGTTCTAAAGCAAGATTTCCATGAACCTGAATTCTCTGTAAAGCCTTCCAGCCAGAATCCAGAAAGCACCTCACAAGGCCTAACCTCTCTCCAGTATGCATCTCAGGGTTCATTTTAGTGAGGACTGGAGTGTACCTTTAAGCCCCACCCACAGGGCATGTGTACTACACATGTCCTATGTACTTAGACAAAGTTTTTTGGACATGTGTAGCATATCCAGTGTCCACTACTGACTAAAAGACCCCCCCCCCCCCATGTGTCAGCATAGACATTAGAACATAAAAATTTGGAATACTTTCAGTTCTAGCCTGTTCTGACCATTTGGAAACGCCAGGGCGGACTGACCATTTGGAAACCCGAGGGCCCGGAGTCAGTAAGGGGCCCTATGAGATGCCCCTGGTACCTTTTTCATAGGCTTTTTTGAGTTTGGGCAAGGACACAGGGGCCCCATGATCCCCTATTGCCCAGGGGGCCCCATGAAGTTGTCAGTCCGCCCCTGGTTCACACCACAAAAGATATCATCCTTATACCGATTATGATTAAATACACTCACCATGGTCTCGTCGATGGGGTAAGTGGTCTTGTCAGGGAAGATGCAGGTCGAGAGGCAGGAGACCACCTTCTCCACCCCCAACTCATACGCCGAGTGCAGGACGTTGTCGTTAATATGGAGATTGTTCCTCTGGAATGGAGGGGGAACGTATTAGGGGGGAGAGACACAAGATGTGTAGATTTAGGACTCACTGACCGTCACTTACTGCTTACCCCCCCCCCCCCCCCCCCCACATGAAAGCACCAGATACATTAATAAAATAAACTCTCTAGGGGGGTGAGCCGGAGCATTTTTTCCAATCTAGCATGACGTCCGACATCTGGATTTCATATTTTGCAAAAGCAAATCTAGAACACCCCAAGTTACAGCGTATGTAACCCCTAAATGTGATAGTTGGGGGCTCCTTCCCTTTGTTGCATACACTGGGTAAAATACTTGGTGATCCTGCCATTCCACTTCAGAGACATATCCTTCCTGTTTCAATCTGACCACACTAGGCACAGAAGAAGCTCCACACTAACGGGGTTTGCGTCCTGTTCCTCCTTCTGCTTAGGAGGTACAGGATGCTGTGCAGGCACACGGGATGCCTGTATTCCTGTAATCAGATTCCTTCTGACATGCCCTGCCCAGCCCTTCATTAACAGGTGGCACACGGCAATAGTTAGGGGGAGTCTAGGCATGCCAATCATCCCTGCTGACACACCCATGCTCAACTCCCCATGCACAGCCAGCACCCTGCTAAAGGCAGGTTCTAGAGTTGTCACCATCCCTGCTGACCCCCTCCTGCCCAACCCCCTTCACATTCAATATCCTGCTGTAGGAAGAGATATCATTAACCACTTTAACTCCACCCTATAGTAAAACTACTGCTACAGGGTGCACAAAAATTATTTATATTTTTTATTAATTATTTATAATATTTTTTATATTTTTATATATTTTATATATATGCCCTATATATATATTTATATATATTTATATATTTTCAATCACATTACACACACACATACATACATACCATATACATCATTATACACATATACTGACACACATATATATCTGTGCGTATATACATACACGTGATTTCATTTCCAGGTCAGGGGCAAGCGCATGCACTGCCCACGCTGCTATTGGCGGCTAGAGATGTCACAATCACTGGGTCCCCCGCCGATACTTTGATCAAAATGGAGAGCTGAAAAACAGGAGAGATCTGTGTGTAAACAACACAGGTCTCTTCCCCTGTCAGCAGGACATGCTGCTGTGTATCTCTCTGCACAGCATGTCTCCCTTTATTAAAGATCCCTGTATTAGTATAATTGGAGAGGTCAGTGGCAGTTCCCACCCGGTGTCAGAACGTCCGCCACAGTGCCGCTATAAGTTGCTGATTGCCGCCATTACTAGTATAAACATTTTTTTTAATGAAAATCCCAGTATATACACCGCCATTTGTAGTTACATAGTTAGTCTGGCTGAAAAAAGACAAAAGTCCATCCAGTTCAACCATAGAACTGGACGCTAAAAATCGAACTTTCACATTAACAAATTAATTTAAATGTATTGGGATTTTTTTTTTTTAGCAAAGACATGTAGCAGAATACATTTTGGCCCAAATTTATGAAGAAATTAGATTTAAAAAATTTTTCGGATGTTTTATAGGAAAAAAAAAAAAGTAAAAAATATTTTTTTTTCCCAAAATTGTCAGTCTTTTTTCATTTATAGCGCAAAAAAAATTAAAACCGCAGAAGTGATTAAATACCACTAATAGAAAGCTCTATTTGTGGAGATAAAAATGACAAAATTTCATTTGGGTGCAGCGTTGCATGACTGTGCAATTGTCAGTTAAAGTAACGCAGCGCAGTATCGCAAAAAATGGCCTGGTCAGTGGGGGGGGGGGGGTTAAAATCCTCTGGAGGGCGAGGGGTTAATCCCTTCTGCTCAGCCCCCTTCATTCTCAGCCAGCACACTGCTGTAGGTAGGGAGGGAGGGAGGATCTAGGGAGGTCAATCTTCACTGCGGACACTCCCCCGCACAGCCCTTCCTTGACAGCCCACACACACTGCTGTAGAGGAGTGCTTCGCTTTAGGAATGTCAATCATCCCCACTGACACGCCCCTGCTCAACTCTACATTCATAGTCCCCACCCTAACTATCTGTAGATACAAGATGAAAGAGTGATCATGCGACCACTTTAAAGGCAAAAATAAGGGAAAACAATTTATGTTACAATATGTTTCATTTTAATGCCCGGAACAATTTAGCCTAGTTAGCAATCACATATACTTCAAAGTACGGTAGATGCAAACCCTCCCAGGATGAAATTTAGCTTGCTTCTGTGCGTAAAAAAAAAAAAAGCCAAAAACAAATTCCTCTGTTTTTTTTTCCATCCTCTTCCCTATCTCAGATCTCCTCCAGCCTCTATCAGCTACTTCATGTCTACATACACCAGCTCCAGCATCAGCTGCACTTTATTGCTCTTGACTGGCCTCCTGATAGCGATAACAGTCTTCACAATGGAGTCATGTGAAAGGGGGACAACGCGGAAGCACAACTGTTAGAGTGTTGTCACCCCAGTGGGAGGAACCGTGCCCCGTCATCGGTGTCAGTGGGAGGAACCGTGCCCCGTCATCGGTATGTCAGCGGGAGGAACCGTGCCCCGTCATCGGTGTCAGTGGGAGGAACCGTGCCCCGTCATCGGTGTCAGTGGGAGGAATATTGCCCCGTCATTGCTATCAGTGGGAGGAATATTGCCCCATCATTGGTGTCAGGGGGAGGAATAATCCCCCAATCATCGCTGTCAGGGAGGAATAATCCCCGTCAATCATCGGTGTCAGTGGGAGGAATAGTGCCCCATCATCGGTGTCAGTGGGAGGAACAGTGCCCCATCATCGCTGTCAGTGGGAGGAATAGTGCCCCATCATCGCTGTCAGTGGGAGGAATAGTGCCCCATCATTGGTGTCAGTGGGAGGAATAGTGCCCCATCATTGGTGTCAGTGGGAGGAATAGTGCCCCATCATTGGTGTCAGTGGGAGGAATAGTGCCCCATCATTGGGGTCAGTGGGAGGAATCGTGCCCCATCATTGGTGTCAGTGGGAGGAATAGTGCCCCATCATTGGTGTCAGTGGGAGGAATAGTGCCCCATCATTGGTGTCAGTGGGAGGAATAATGCCCCAATGTTGGTGTCAGTGGTAGATTTGCCCCCCATTGTTGGGGGTCAGTGAGAAGATTAATGCCCCCATCATGGCTTGGGTCAGTGAGCCAGAATCATGCCCAATTGTTGGTGTAGAAGGAATACTTCCCTGTATCGGGGGAGGAATAGTGTCCCAAGGGCCTGATAAAGGCAAGCAAAGTCGCAGTTTAGAGAGCACTGCTGTATACTGTAGAGGTCTCTTCTCAAAAAATCATCTCCATAGGGCATTATTTATATGGATTTCATATCAATATTTCTATATCCCCAATAAATCTGAACATACAGGAGTTGCACGCTATATCCGCCATGCCTTACCAAGAAATCGAGGTTATACTTCATATTCCGGAATAGTCCTCCCACCATGGCTGCCAAGTGAATGACGTGGGTGGGTCTGTGCTTCTCTCAAACAATGCTCGGGTGTCTGCAGCGCTCCTGGGAACAAGAGGTGGAGATTTGAGGAGCCTGTTCACAGAATGACAACCGAATGACAACCAATAGAGTAAGAATGATCCCACAGGAAACATCAGATAATATAGGTTTGCTGACAGTGGTGACCCTTTTTGGTAGACCTAACCTTCTGAAGTGAAGATGTGCCACATGAGAAGGAAAATTATTATTTGTACCTAATCAGGGCCCTTGATTCACCTTTTAGAGTGCTTATGCACTTAGTTACCTGTTCTAGGCACCTGCTACCTGTAACTTAGTTACCTGTACTTACTAGGCACCTGTTCTATAGCCTCATAGCTGTATAGCCGCAGTATGAGATCATCTAAGGCACTGCTGCCTATGTCTGCTAGCCTCATCAGATTTGGCGTGAGATTTGGTGATGTCACTACTGTACTGCTCATGGTTTTCTCCTTGCTGGAGAGGAAGCTGTACCTGAGGAGCTACAGTTCAAGGATCTCCCCTGCTTCTGCTTCATCCATTCTGTGGATCTGTGCTTCTACCACCTTTACTATTTAACCCGCGAGTCATCAGATCACAGTTCCTGCTTACTGTTCTCCTTCCTGAAGATGAAGCTTTACCTGAGGAGCTGCAGTGCAAGAATCTCCGTGCTTCTGCTGCATCCTCTCTTTGGATCTGTGGATTCTTCTACCTCTCCTGATGCTTCTTTATCATTACCCCACCAGTCATCAGGGGAGCAGCACGGACATGAGGAAACAAACTCTGCTGCGACCAAGATTTAAAGAGAACCTGTCACTGTAGAAACAGAGACTCGGTCACTACAGGTGAGGTGGTTCCTGCTGTGCGGGAGAAGTGAAGAACCCCACTTATTAATGTAGAGCTACCCTCTTAAGGGTGGCTGTGTTGTGGGTACCCCTAAGCACTCTCTGCACAGCCAGGCAGCAGGTATTTATTACACATCCAAGAGAAAGTAATCAGTCCATAGGCTTGTTTTTTTTTTTTTTTTTTTTTTTTTCTTTAGGGGAATTCAACTTGGATAGGGAAATAGGGATTATGGGATGCCCAGTTGGCTTGAATCAATGAAACGGGGGGACAGCTTCCTTCTTATGTACAAAGGCAGATCTTGGACTGTTCTTTTCCTTGAAAGCGGTTTGTTGTTGTGGAACTGTAGCGACTGCCCTTTACCCTTTATGGGCGAGGGACTCAAAAAAAAAAAAAAAAAAAAAAACAAATCAGCTTAACTTCTCATGACTACATGCAGGTATATTTTCTCTCAACCCAGAGAGAACTACTCCCAGTTCCCTAGACTGCAAACACTTCCAGCCCTCCTGGCTTGTCAGAAGATCTCCTGAGACAAAGTATAGACGACTGAGACCAGCCTTTCCTTGGACAGCTTGCTATGGCAGTCTTTCCCCTTGTGGATCCCAGAGGGTGCTGCTGTACTCGATCTGTCCTCTTTGCTCCCACTGCTCCAGCTCCCAATCCCATTCATGCTACACTGCTGAACATATCCTCCTGAGCCCAGCCTGGGCCCCCCAAACCTAGAGGACCCATCCCCGGCACCAACAGTCTCCTCAGCACTCCATCTTCCACCCGTCTCCTCTATCAATCTGACTCTCCCCATATTTATGGGCCTGTCCACCATTCTACCAGGGCCCCCAAGCCTGGGACTGGCCGGACTCCCATAAACATGCAGATTAGGTCTCCACCCCTTCCAGCTTACCGACTTCCGGAAGGTTCTATGGTCCTCCAGAGTCAAGAGGATGGTATAGAGCCACAACTGTTAAAAGGAGATGCTCAACTTTTAGAAAAAAAATAATAAATGCACTTTTTTTGCAGGTAAAAAAAATGTGCATTTATTTTTTTTCGTCTGCTGGTAGCATATTGCTAGTGACATGCAGGTCTCCTGCAGGTCTGTCAGTATATCTACTTGCTCGTATGTCCCGTACATACTGACAGGAGGAATGAATGAACTACCACGGTGATTTGAAGGACCCCTCCCCAGCACCAACAGTCTCCACAGCACTCCCATTTTCCACCCGTCTCCTCTCCCATATTTATGGGCCTGTCCACCATTCTACCAGGGCCCCCAAACTGGGATTGGCCGGACTTCCATAAACATGCATATTATCTCTCCACCCCTTCCTGCTTTCAGACTTCCGGAAGGTGCTATGGTCCTCCAAAGTCAGGAGGATGGGATAGAACCACAACTGTTAAAATGATAATTTCACCTTTTAGAAAAATAATAATACATCCCGTACATACTGACAGGAGGAATGAACAAACTACCACGGCGCTTCACATCACCATGGCAGTTCACTGAGGACTACAAGCCGACAACTGCTAAGGCAGTTGGGACTTGTAGTCTCTCATTCACACAGGACTGTAAATGAGTGACGAGGCCGTGTAGGCGGAGCCACGCACGGCCAGTTTTTTTTTTTTTTTTTAATTTGACAGTTAGCAAGTGGGGAAAAGATCCCTTCGCTAGCTGTCAAAGAGGGGATTCGGGGAGGGAGCGTGGGCTGGTCTGACCATAACAACTGGTGTAACATGTTACGAAAGATGAACTTATCCTTTAATTCATCCGGCTGACCTGCAATAACCCGACCTCAATCACAGACTCACACAATTGAGTCACAAACAATGATTTTGCCTACAATACACTACACTATTCTAGTAGCAAACTAGAGGGTACTACAATAATAAGACCTAACCGTGGTTGTCCAAGAGTAGAGTGCGGTGGGGTGGAGGAGACGATGGACCATTTCTTGCTTCAGTGCTCCTTCAATATAGAAGTCTACAAGCGGGTGGGTGGGGCTCTGGGGATCCCTTTCCCACTTGAGTTACGTGGAGTGGTCTTACGGGGCCTTTCAAACTCACCAGGACTTTGATTTTGAGACTTTTTCTAGTTAGCTTAGTAGTCTGTTACTACACGTGGAATGCACGGTGTCAGTTTTCCATTCGCAAAAAAGTCCTTCCTGTCGAGGTGGTGGTGCACAACATTCTAGGTGAGGTTGGGAAGATTCGGGGTCTTGAGAAGAACAGGTGGCGGCCAGGAGCCTGGACTAAAGGTGTGGAGGAATGTCAGGTCCCCGTAGCTGCTGTCTGTCAGTCTCTGGGGGCGTGGCTTCTCTTTCTGTCCTTTCACGTCCCCTAAATTTTTGTAAGATCAGATTTTTTTTTTTTTTTTTTTAAAAAGCGGCATGCATGGGATCAATGTTTAATCGTTTCTTAGCCTCGGGGGGGGGGGGTTTAGGTGACGGTCGGCTTTGTTGAGATACATTATAAAGAGGATAATAGTAAAATAGGATTGTTTCTGTGCTTTTTTTTTTATGCTGAAGTAAGCCATTTTTGTTTAAATATTATTATCATAATTTTTTTTTTTTTTTTAACTTTATTTTTTTTTATTCTGTATATATGTAAATGTTTTTTAATTATGTTGTTTGTAAGATTTTTAATAAACAAAAATTTACAATATTAAGACCTGTATGGTGGTGCGGAAATCCCTTTTAGAATATCTGCAGCTGGAGAATAATGCGACCCTTTCATACCTATGCTGTGGCCCTCAAGGCCCCAACAGCCAGCGTTTTCCCTGCCTAAGTAAAGGGGATGCAGTTGATGTACTCTCCAAATGCCTCCATGTTTGCAGTCCTTGGCTGTCTCCTGTACCGCTTGCAAAGTCTCTAACAGTCCTCTCTCGTATATGCTACAGTAAAAAAATCCATATATCCAATAAATCCATGAATAAATCATAAAAATATTAAATGTTTTATTCTCACTTCAGATCGGCATCCTTGGAGGCCACAAAGATCCATTCTTCATCAGGACGTCCCTCTCCGTCCTTCACCACCTTCTCAATAGCCTTCCCCACCAGGCCGGAACCACCGGTCACCAGGATCCTCTTTGGCTTCTTCTCCGACATCTTATCTGCCCTGCATTGAAAAGAAAAGATAACAGACATAACATTCAGTGTTTCAGTTCCACTCAAGAGCAATGAGGACATAAAAGCTCCGCCTTCCACAGCAAACATCAGGAATTACAGGAATAATTAAAGCCGAATTTAACTCGGTCAATCAACCTGAACCATTTGTAATCCCGATCCTCCCAGCATTAGAAAATAGATTGGAAGGTAGATTAGATTTACTTGCTTTCCATTTTCAGATTCAGTTTAGTTCTGCTTTGAAGACTAAAGCCGGCCATACACGGGTCAAATTTCCGAAAGAATTTTCTTTCGAAAATCTTTTCTAAGAATTTTCCTTTGAATTTCGCACCATTAGTGGGTCACAGAAAACAGCCAATTTGTCCATCGAATTTGAGTGATCGGGAGTGTTGGAGATTTTTTGAAAAAAACAAACTAAATTTCGAATCAATGACGGGGAGAATCGTACGATAAATATAAATGAAAAAGAAACGAGCGCGAGTTGTGACTTGGAAAGAAAAGAAAATTCTTGACCACAAAATTTCTTTTCTAGAGCAACACAAAGTGAAATTGAAGGCTTATACAAGAAAACTTATTCCTGCGCCAAAAACTTTCCAAATAACACTCTAAAAATGCTGCTGTGCCAATCGTGAAAACACAAACAATATAAATATAAATAAACAGCGCAAATTTAGATAATCAATATAATAAATCATTAAAAATAAGTGCATAAATTATTCGTGTTTCCCCTTAATAATAAACAAAAAACACCCAAAAGTCCATGTGCTGAAAACATAATTGAATTGTAGAAGTAAAAAATAAAAAAATATGAAAAATGAAAGTGCCAACTTCTTTTCTTCAAAAAATATTTTCACCTTCCACCAGTGCACACACCAACATTGAATACACTCACCAGAACTTGGTGAGTAAAAGACCTTTAAGGAATTTTAGGGATCCTAAACCCTCTTTGGTGCCACGCTAGGGAAAATCTTCACCCTCCGAATAGACTCCACCATCCAACCAAAAGAAAAAAAACTCACATAGCATAATATTGTCACACAATAGTAACTTATTCCAAATAGAGATTAAGGCCACTCACATGTTAATCACTTGCTAAAGGCATGTTTATTATGTGTAACAGGCTTCAGTTCCAGCAGATATACAACCTTTTCCTTCCAGGACTCTCACATCCACAATGGAACAAGGACAAAACTCCTCTTAGACCAAACAGTAAACCAAGATGGCCGCTGGAACGCACCGCTCCGCGTGCGTTCCACTCACCGGAAATGACGTCAGGCGTATAGAGTGTGGACCGGAAATGCGTCAACGCGTTTCGCCCCTCCCATAGGGGCGTTATCAAGACACCCATCTCCCGTCCTCACTCACTTAAATATCAATGTAATGCCCTCCCCTCCAATTTAATTGGTCAGACCACCTCCCAGGATAATTACAGAGGCTGCTCCTCCCACTACTGCTGGAACTGAAGCCTGTTTACACATAATAAACATGCCTTTAGCAAGTGATTAACATGTGAGTGGCCTTAATCTCTATTTGGAATAAGTTACTATTGTGTGACAATATTATGCTATGTGAGTTTTTTTCTTTTGGTTGGATGGTGGAGTCTATTCGGAGGGTGAAGATTTTCCCTAGCGTGGCACCAAAGAGGGTTTAGGATCCCTAAAATTCCTTAAAGGTCTTTTACTCACCAAGTTCTGGTGAGTGTATTCAATGTTGGTGTGTGCACTGGTGGAAGGTGAAAATATTTTTTGAAGAAAAGAAGTTGGCACTTTCATTTTTCATATTTTTTTATTTTTTACTTCTACAATTCAATTATGTTTTCAGCACATGGACTTTTGGGTGTTTTTGTTTATTATTAAGGGGAAACACGAATAATTTATGCACTTATTTTAATGATTTATTATATTGATTAATTATCTAAAATTGAAGGCTTGGTTGGTTGAAATTTCGAAATCGATGGTGGCGCCGCCGGATTTACAAAATGCACAAAAATTCTGAGTCTATAAAGAAAATTAGTTCGGAATTCGACCTGTGTATGGCCTGCATAAGTTTAAAGCCCAACTCAAAAAAAAAAAAAAACAAAAAAAAAAAAAACAAAAAAAACAACCACACCCGTGGAGTTGGATCCCCCACAGTGCAAGAGTTGACTGCTTGTTAAATCAAGGAAAAAAAAAGAGACAAGGTGTAATATTTAAACACTTGCCATCCTCCCTATAGCAGTAGTAGTGCTACGGGGGCAGCACGGCTGCACAAATTTTTTATATATATATATATATTATATATAACACATATACATATACACACACAAAATACATATATACACATATACATACACACACACACACACATACACATACATATATACACACACATACACGCGCATGCCCTACTCGCGCTGCTAGGGATGTCAATCACTGGGTCCCGGCCAGCAATTCCTGGCTGGGACTCGGTGTGATCGTTGGCTGACAGGGGAGAGATCTGTGTATAAACAACACAGGTCTCTCTCCTGCCAGCAAGGACATGCTGCTTTGTATTTCTCTGCACAGTATGTCTCCCTAATAAAACACACAGCACACAGTTAACCCTTTGATTGCCCCAGATGTTAACCCCTTCCTGCCCAGTGCCATTAGTACAGTGTCAGTGCTTTTTTTTTTTATTAGCACTGATCACCGTATTGGTGTCACTGGGGATGCCGCTGATCGTCACCATTACTAGATAAAAAAAAAAATTAAAAAAATAAAGTATATATACACACACCATTTATAAACGCTATAACTTTCATGTAAACCGATTAATTTACACCTATTGGAATTTTTTTTTCAGCAAAGACACGGAGCAGCAGAATACATTTTGGCCTAAATTTGTAACGAAATTTGATTTTTAAATTTTTTTTATTGGAGGTTTCTTAGGAAAAAGTCAAAAATATTGTTTCTTGTTTAAATTGTCGGTGGGAAAAATAAATTATACATTTTATGTACAGCGTTGCATGACCCGCGCAATTGTCAATAAAGTACACCACAGCGCCGTATCACAAAAAATGGCCTGGTCAGGAAGGGGGGGGGGGGGGGGGAATCCTCTGGAGGGCAAGTGGTCAAAGAGCAAGTCCACTTTTGTTGAGAAAAAAAAAGCCCTCCCCTCTGGGTGATCCACGTACATTGCAGAGATGTTTATACTTTGTTGCAGATTTCTACATTTTGTTATTCTGAAGAAATAGCGGTTTGTTTGTCTGTGTCCATGTGCAGTGTGAATGTGCATGGAAGTGACTTTACAAATTATCAATCAGCTGCTGCACCTGCAGGGTTCTAATGAGGAAAGTGGCAGGGTCTGCATCCCTTTAGACCGGATTTCCCTTTTGGGAGTATCTCACCATAAAATGACATATTTGTTGCAGGGGATGCCCAAAATCTGACACAAGGAGGAAATGACACGCTGTATCTGGAAGGCGCTCTATATACAGAAGTCCTCCAGGCCACCTTATTGCATTTTATAGAAAATGACAGCGCTGCAGATTGGAAAGGAACGGCCATTTTTATTAACATTCCATTGCAATAGGACTTGTGTAGAAATTGTATACACTAGATTATTTTTATATTTTTTTCATTTGCTGGTTTCTCACAAAAGCGGAGTTCCACTTCATATATAACGAGGGGAAAACATTTGATAATTCTGGAACGGGTGGAGCTGGATTAGAACCCCTGCTGGGAATTTATTGCGGTCTGTGACCCCGTTAGGGAGAGTCAACCCCTCTTATTTTTCCTGTTTATCAATATCAATGAAAGTGAAGGAAAATCCCCAATTTTGGGTTTTCACTGGAACAGGAACAGAGGGGAATTCTTCCAGTTGTGGTGACAAACGGGGATTCCCTCACTTTGTTTTGGCTGATGGACAGGGAAGGGTAGGAAACCTTCTCCTTCATCCATGCAACTGTTCCCGCAAAGCCTCTGGGTTAGCAGCCCTGTATTGTACACAAGGATGCCAAGGGACAGCTCCAGGGAGCGCCCCGGAAGGAGGGGGGTGGGTGGATGGGAAGACTACCGTGCTGGAGCGCCCCTGGGGGAGGGGGGGGGGGGGGGAGGCGACTGCGCTGGAGCGCTCCCGGGGGAGGGGGGGGAAGGCGACTGCGCTGGAGCGCTCCCGGGGGAGGGAGGCGACTGCGCTGGAGCGCCCCCGGGGGAGGGGGGGGGTGAGTGCGCTGGAGCGCCCCCGGGGGAGGGGGGGGAAGGCAACTGCGCTGGAGCGCCCCAGGGGGAGGGGGGGGGGGTAAGGCGACTGCGTTGGGGTGCAATGATTGTAGACACCAAGGGACATGAAGGGTGTTCTTTGTAGGATCACCTGGTGAAAGTACAGCAAAAAAAAAAGCCTGGAACAATAGAAAACAAATGCAGCCACCACATCTAAGCACCAATAAGCTGCAATAAATGCTGCCATGAATTTTCCTGGGTTTAGATACACTTTAAAAAGGTTACATAGTTAGTCTGACTTAAAAAAGACAAAAGTCCATCCAGTTCAACCAAAGTAAAAAAAAAAAAAAAAAAAAAAAGTAATAATCCTCCACCCACAGCTGATCTAGAGGAAGGCGAAAACCCAGCAAAGCATGAGGCTGAGGTTGAGTTGGCATTGATGATGTACACAAACACTGAGAATAATAGCCACATACACACCTACAAGTCATTCAGGAAAAGGGAAACACACGAACACGGAAGAGGCGACAGGCTGCCCAACCGGTTCTACCAATAAGTATGTAGACACACCAGGCTCCTGCCTACAGCAGCACAGCACAAAGGGCAGCCAACTGTGGTCACTGTGCAGGTGGTCAGTGATGTAATCTGGGGACATTTCTAAACTTCCAACTGGATAAATCAGCGGGATGGAATCACAAAAGCAACAAGAAAGATATAATAAAGTCAGTTTGTCTGCTTTATTGTAGAAATGGTTATCAGTATCAAACCCCCCCCCCCATATCATATACACCAATCAGCCATAAGATTATGACCACTGACAGGTAA